GGAGAAAGGAAAAGGCGGCCGGACTGACAGGTCTGGGGAGGTGGAAGAAGCCATTGGACGGCTGGCATGAGGGTCAGGCCCACTGGCTGATAAAGTCTGCACTTGCTATTGACGGCAGGTTGGGTGGGAGGGGTGAGGGTGCACAAATCCAGCTACTTCTCCCACCGTTGCTGCCAGCCTCCCAGAACTAAGCCAAGCCCGTTCTGGCCTTTGCCCTCCCCCACGGGGTCTGTCTGCCCTGGCCCTTCCTTCCCTATAGGGACCCATTCCCCACACCTGGGAGAGCTTTCTTTTTCTTTTCCCCCCCCCCCCCTTTCTTTTTTTTGTGTTTGTGATGTTATGCGCTCTCCAGAAAGACAGAGACAGATAGAGAGACAGAAAGCGAGAAATCACCCCCAGGGGATGGCCACGCTGCAACACCCTCTCCTCCATTTTCCTCTCGGGATCTTGGGCATGCATGCACATGCACCTGGCATGAGTTTAAGCCACCAGGTCTGGGACGTGAACTGCGGTCAACCACATGGGAGTCCAGCGACATAGCCATTACACCAACTGCTGGTCCCAGAGCGTTCTTAAATACAGCTTTTTTCCCAAAAAAGTTTATTTATGACAGAGTGAGAGATAGAGATAGCTCCCCCCACCAGGGTCTGATGCCGAGATCCACCCCCAGCCTTCACCAGCCAAGTTACTAGCTTGCATGTGCTCAGTGTGCGTGGAGAGTTCCCACAGAGCTGGAACTCCGCAAAGCCTCACAGTACTGCTGGGCCACCATCTGCCTCCCACAATATAGTTTTGATTGACTCACTCTCCTGCTCAAAGTTCTACAGTGGGTCCCGATTACTTGCTGGTGATAACCTGTAGGTGACAACCTCTGCCATGAGCAGTCCACGCCTGCCCAGCCTGGGTCCCAGCTTTGTGTCCCCAGCACAGCTCCTACTGCACGCCTCCCTTGACCACCTCGCTGTCCACTCTTCCCAGCAGTGTAGAGTACACTTCTGCAGCACCGTTTATGGGTCTCGCTTTCCCACAGCATGGGGTAACCTGCTGTCACTGCCTGTAGAAACCTCACTAATCCTCCGTGCTCATAGCCTTCCGGGAGCCAGGAGCCACTCCAGCCACAGTCAGACAGACACAAAGCCTTCCTCCCTTCCCTCGCTTGTTTTCCTCACTCGCTCTCCCCGTTTGTCCCTGCTTGTCCCTCTACCTGACATTTGTGTCATGTGTCTTCTGACTCTAGATCGTAGGTTTCTGAAGGGTGGGAATTCTGATTGGGAACAAATGCAATGCCTCCCTGGGGCATGCCTAGAGCACAGTAGAGGTCAAGGTCAATGGGACACTCCTTTGTTAGTTCAACACTTTTTAATAGAGTACCTGGAGACTGCAGAGAGCAGACCAGACAAGGCTTCTGCCCACTTGGGGCTCACCTTTTGGTGAAGAGACAGTCAATCAGCAAGATAAATGTTGTAAAAGCATGGCCTTTTAGCTGGTGTGAGGGGCCCGTAGAAAAGGAAAGCAGGAGTGTCCCAGACCAGGCGCAGCAGTAACAGTGACACAGCAGGGCTGACCCAATAGGAAGGGTCTGGGCTTTCCTGGAGGCCTCCTGAAGTATGACTAGCACATGTACGTTTGTGGTCTGGGATTGCCTGCCACTGGGAGTGGACTGTAGCGTCAAGACCTTTGAGGGTGCTGTCTCTCTCATTCATGGAATAAATACATATAAAAACTTTAAGGAAAAAGAAAAAGCAGGAAACAGGAATAGGCAATGCTGGCTTTGGGCTTTCAATTTTCTTCTTTTATTGCCAGAGGATGCTGCAGGGAAGGAGGGAGAGAGGGAGGG